GGGGAGAGTGAGCGAGGGGCAGCTGGGGGAGATGAAGTGGCGGCGAAAGAAGTGGGGAGGGGCATAACGGAGCGGAGCGAAGTAGGACGAGGCAGAACCTAGCTGGGCGCGGGGCGGGGCGGGTGGTTGTAGGGCTAGGGCAGGAGGGCATGAGCGAGTTGGTGTGCGTGAGAAGAGGCGTAATGGACGAGGCGCGGGAAGTGCAGTGGCGATGAAGAAAGGAGTGCTGTGGGGGAGGGGGCACCCGGCCGGACAAAGTTCGGCGGGGCAGGATCGGGCGAGCGGCGACGGACGGGCAGAACCGAGCGGGTGGGCGAGGCGCGAATAGCAGGCCCGGAGGAGCGGCCAGTCATCGCGCATAGCGAACTGAACTGCAATGAACGCGTGGGCGCCTGCCAAGTGCGCGCTCCCTAATGAGGCCTGAGAGCTCCGCCCTCCGCTGAACTCGACTCCTCCCCTCGACCCGGCCTGCCTTGCGCGCCCACTGCCGGTGGCACGTCTGGTGTTGGTTGGTGGGGTGGCTGGGGTTTTTGATTGTAGATGTTTTTATGTTTGGTAGTTGTTGTGGTATTAGTGGGTGGTTGTTTTTGGCTGTTTGTTTTCTTGTTTTGTGTGTTGTTTGGCTGTTTTATTTTGGTTTAGTTTTGGGAGGTGTTCTGGGTTGAATGGAGGTTTGGGTGGCGTGGGCTGGGGGGGGTGGTCTTGGGGTGTTTATTTGATCTTGTTTTGGGTGGATGGTGGTGGTAGGGTGTGTAGGGTGGGTAGATGGTGGGCCTCCCCGCCCCACCTCCCCGCTTCTCCCTCTTCCTCACTTCGCCCTCCCCTCGTGCACCGTCAACCCAGCTGCCTTCCCCCTGCGCCACTCAGCCTGACCTTCAGTCCCAAGCTTCCTTACTCCGCCTTCCCACACCGCTGATCCGTCTCGATTCCCCGCTCTATATTGGACGAACCTTCAGTATCCTGCCCCGCTCTATTCTACTGCTTCCCGCGCTACGCGCCCGGTCATCTCGCCCAGCCACTCCCACGACTCGCGAAACTCACTCCACGCGGGGCTGCACGGGTTTAGCTCAGAGGCAGCATTGCCACCGACTCTGCAGCGACTGTGACTCGAGAGGACATAGGATTCGAGTCCCGGTGGTGACAGATTTTAGACTCTAGCTACCATCTAAGTCAGATCGAATTCAATCGTTTCCTCGAGCAGAATTCTGGCTGCCTGCTGCTCTGATCGGTAGTTTTGTCTTCTTTCTCCGTTCAATAGCAGGCAAATGCACGAGTAGTATTAAAAAAAACGGGCCACGGACCACGCCTGATATTTCCTCCCACGTCATTGTCTTTCCTTTAATCACACACTGTTATAAAATCATGCACTATACCAACACCCTTTTCATGAGACCAGACTGGAGCTCAGTGGTTGTCACCAGAACCAGGTACCTGTTTGGGAAGGAACCTTGTTTCAGAGGAGTAGGCCAGGTTGGATCTCACCATCCAAAGGTAACACTGTCACTCTCGAAATATACCTTCCGTTTCATTTTCGGGATTTATGGCATCTCGGAGACGTACATTAAGAATAGATATAAAGTTTTGCGGCTCTAATTAAATTAAGCCCTATTGCCAAAAGAAAACAATGAAGGGAAACAGGCGAAAAATACATGCGTTTATAGAAGAACCAATGCCGCAACGTTGGCAAGACTGACTACGTTGCTGTATAGCCCGACCTTCAATGACCACTTATTATTTGATTTTGTTTCCATTTTTGCCGAATCCACTATTATATTCCACAACGACATTACCCATAATCCCCCGCGAGACTATATTCCTACTCAGAATTAAATATATTATCGTCGTACCATTAATCTTCAAAACCTTTATAATTCTGCAGAGGATCAGAATGATTACTCGTAATATCAAGTCCTGGTCTACATTACCTCAAACATCACGAAACCGAGAAGATCAAATTCAAATTTTCAACGTCCAGAGACTGGCTTTACATCGCGCATCTCAGTCGCAACCGATTCCCTGGCAACCACCCAAAAAGGCCTGTAAGTACTTGGAATTTACACTCATGGGGCAACTCACATGGAAATCCTATATAAATGATAGGATCATCTTTGCAGTCCCTTTGATTCTAACATTGGTTCAAATTTGTTGTAGCCAAAAGCAATGATAAAAGAATGTGTTCATTGTTAAAGAGTAATATCATTTCTGCTTCGTAAGGGAGGAGTTTAAATGACTTATGTAAGCCCACTTGGGAGTTCGTCAACAAGAATGTAACTTTTCTATTGAAACACACACACACACTCACACTTACATGCACTACTCTACCACCCGTGCCGGGAGCTGGGAGTTGGTCCTGACTCGGGGAGTGATCCGCTGGCGGATACCCACCCATCTACCCACGAGCTGACGTATAGGTTGGCTTCGGATCTTACTTTCTAACAGGAGATGAACACCGGTCAATGATGTAACATGCACTAATCTTACAGGACAAGGGTCTGAGACGTCCAAGCCGAAAATTGATACCCTCTCACTTACTAATACGCTCATTAATTCACTTGTTTATCGAAACACTCCCATAAGTTCTCTGCCATAAGAAGCATACGGGTTGAAAAAGAAGTAGAAGTTCATGAAGAATAAAGAAAATGTGATTGGTAAATGAATGTTAAATATCCTAAAATACTCGATTTTTCATCTTAGTTATATTACAAACCACTCACAATACCACCTTTCAATATACACATACATTTATACTCATTAAGTGTTGTCGTCAAGGAACCTAGGACCCGAATTTCTTTGTCAATCTCAATATGAATTCGCAGAATACTCTTTGACATCCTAAAAAGTAATACATATGTATACATTACATAGATGAAGTAACGTGAATATGAATTTCCTTCTTATTATAAGATTTTATCATGGTCGTAATTGTGTAGCAAAAAGTATTTCCCGAAACTGCAAATTTTTGGGAATCTTTAGTGACACCTCTGAGTTCAACATACGACCAATTAAAAACTTAAAGGATTGTAAACAAACGTCATTTAAAACTAGTAGACGCGGCAATGCTTCGCTATTGCAATGTATTACAGATTTTACGTTACGCTGCGCAAACACTCTAATAGACTTTTTCGGAACGGTTTTTATGGTTTTGTCCTACTCATGTCCTGGTTTGTAAATGGTTGTCAAGTATCCTATGGTTAGAAAGTTCTCCTCCAAATTAGTTCATTGCTATGACACTATCTTGGAGAAATTTGATTTACGTGTCCCAATTTCAAGTAATAATTCCGACCGATATTTCACAATTGCAGGGGTAGAATACTTGTATGCAGTAAAGACGCGCTTAATCCTTGGCTGCGAGGTGGATTGTGTAGTATTAAGGGGCGCTTGAGTCGTCATAAACGAATAAATCGTCATCATCAACGCCCCCACTTATTAGATAATTGAAAACACTCTTTTAACACACTCAGTACTAATACAAAGTGTGAAAATTTCATCCCAACCGATCGGGTAGTTTTTGCGTTTACGTGCGTCACACATACACATATTCCCTTATATATATATATATATATATATATATATATATATATATATAGAGAGAGAGAGAGAGAGAGAGAGAAAGAGAGAGAGAGAGAAAGTATAAATATATTATATATAATTTGTTGATAATATAATGTTATTGTCCATCCATCCAATTCCACAAGAACAGCCTGCAACAGAAGCTCTAAGCCTCCATCCACCCGAATCGAACCGGGTTCTCCAGAAACAAACAAAGCCAGGGCAGAGAATGGGCCGAGGAGATGACCCCCACCCGTTCATTTCCGCAGCCTCGCCGTCGAGATATCGCCCGAAATCGACCCGACGCCTCGCTTTGAAACAACAGGAAGCGCTACTACTACTACGAGTACGAGCTTCTCGAGAGCAGTCGAAGGTCGGGGAGCCATAACAATGGAGGAGGGCTCCTTCGCTTGTTTCGTCTGTACGTGGGAGAGGACTGTGTCAAGAAAGCTGCTTAGAGGAACGAGGAGGGCTTGAAGTTCTCCCAACAAATCCCGAAAGATAGGGGGAACCGCGACGTTCAATCTAACTTTATTGGAACACTAACAAGAGAGAATCTGCTGCAGCGTTAATGAAATTGTGTAGTACTACATTATAATCTAAATATTAACAATGTGTTATTGAAAAAATTGAAGAATGTATCATTTGCACCAACAAATCAAATGATATAATTTTTATAAGACTTTGTTCTATTGTCCACAGCAAGATAATAGAAATTACCTGAAACCAATTCCTATTTTCTGTTTTACCGTCAGCGCTGAACAGCTAAATCTTTGAAGGTATTATTGTTTTTTTTATCAAGATAAATATAACAAAATACTCACGGCTTTAATGTTATTCGCGTTTATGCAAAACTGAAAAAAAAATTGAAATTCGAATCAGTAACAGAATTTTCTGAAGTGGTGATGTAGGTTCGTCTCTACGCGATGGCAGATGTTTGACACAATACATTTAACTTCATTGTATGTGCACTTTTTCTGGAGATCACTTGGGAATATAATTGTTCAAATTATCCATGTTCGCACGTCAGTAAGCCGTTTCCTTCACGAAGAGTCAGATCAAGAATAATATGCAAAATATGAGACTGATTGGGCTTCGTTACCGATACATTTTTGGCGATTGAAATAATATACACTACTACGAAAAAAATCCACAACAAGACGCTCTAAATCACTTTCTGTAAACCTAATCGTAAGTTAAATTGCACAAAACGATATCCAAAGGATTAAGAAAGGATAAATACAAGCAGTAATAAATACTTTTGAAAAAATACTAAATTCTTTCAATTAGATTTTACAGGATATTAACTATGGAAAAACTATGCAAGATGTCACAAACATAAGAAAAAGAAATAATAAATTATGCGTTGTGGTAAACGTAGGGGTTTATGACCATCCGCGATACTTCCTTTCCCATCATGTCCCCGTTCTTAACCTCAACACCGGTGATGAGATGATCCTGTTTTAAAATAATTCTCCCTCATTATCATTTCACATACTTCTCCCCTTCCTCATCATACAACACTTTTTTCGATTAAGATGTACTCACAACCACCATGTTCAGCCTTGATACCCAGAATGTTACAAAATCCTAAGATAATCAGGGCGTGTAATTATATATTTTCAATTGAAATTAAATAATACACAACAAAATCCACTAAAATGTCACTTCGAAGAGGGTTTCGCATCTAAATTTCGTGACAGCTCGTCAACCAATTATCAGCCTTCTTTGAGATCTCCCCAAACTACCTTAAAAGAAATAATTTGGCCGCATAAGAAATGAAGCCCTCAGAGACCATTAAAAGCACAAATATCGTTACTTGGCCAACAGAGCTTCGGCAGAGGTGTCAAATTCCTTATACTCAAGATTCGTTACGAATTACAGGAAATAATTGCGTCTAAATGACAAGGTATGAATAGGAAAAAATTCGAAAGCGGTCCGTTGAAAATTATTTACGTATAAAAACTATTTTTCCTAATAGAAAACACTTTTTCATCCCGTCAGCGCATATAAACTCTTGTGAAGTATTAAACGTCTGAGAGCTACAGGGCTGAAATTTTTTGATATTAACGATTGCCACGCGAAGTGTCAACAATGAAGCATGGCTGCCACTCACGGAATTACTCAAATAGCAAATGATCAATGAACATGTGATATCAGAGCTGACCCTTAACATTTGTAGTGCATAAAACAATATTTTAATGCTTCTCTACACTGGCATTTCTCATTTTAGTAACATTCAGTGCTACATTGACGTTATCGTGTTTTCCAACAAGACGAAACATCACCTTGACATGTGAAGTATATAATGTTACCGAAATGCTCTCCCAAACCTATCGCGTTGTAACTGTTGTATTTAAACTTCTTAAGACCTTAAAATTTTACCATTTTTCGATCACGATCTACAACAGACCACTACAATTGGCATCTGGCATGGGTACACCTGTGACAATGGCTGCAATTTCACTCGTGAGCTGAGCTGATCTCGGGGAGAGGGAGTGGCTCAGAGTGCATAGGGGTGTAGATTTTCGATACTATCTACAAAGCAGTCGTTATAGATGTCTGTAGCAGTATTAATTCATGGCAGACTTTGTTTTTGAATTAAGCCGTTATACATAAAGGGCAATTGACTTCGATACCGTTAGATCCCGGAGTTCTTAGTTTGGCACCTAATCAGTAACCCGCGATGTCTGGAATTTCCTTAACCTTCGTGACTTCACGTAGTTAACAAATTCGGCTAGCGACACCGGTTTCGAGGTCGTGGCCTTTCAGTAGAACCCCATTCTATTGTCCACACCATCCGAGCATTCGCCTGGATGACTGAAGGAAACCACGAAAACCCCGGTCAGGATGGCAGGCACGAGAATTGAACCCGAGCCACCCGAATGTGAGGTCAGCGCTCTCTATCATGCGCCACTTCGCTCATTAAAGAATAACTTACCGCTAATACGTAGAAGCAGAACAGACGCCCAATACTCACCTGAAACGAAAAAACAATTATTAAGAGGAGTAGTAATTACAAATAACATTCATGCGCTGACGGTAAAACAGAGAATAGGAAATAGTTCCAGATTATATCTATTACCTTGTAGTCGACAATGGAGCAGATAAAAAAAAGTCTTGTTTAAAATACATCATTTGATATGGTGTTATTTGTACAAGACTACCATGTTGGTGCAGATGGTACATTTTCAATTTTTACAATAACACGTTGATAATATTTAGTTTATAATGTATTACTATACCATTTATTTATTGCTACGTTGAGTTTTTATACAAAATAATGTCAAATGTAAAGGAATTGTAAATATAAGTGTTTCTTGTTTGGATCAATTTTTGTGTGAAAAATTCATATCAGCAAACAGAATGCAGAATGTTCTATCCCGCATTGAGCAGTGCCTATGTGAAACAATCCATCGTACGCCTTCCTTCGGAGGGGAAGTAAAGCCGACTGTCCCATGTTAGTAGATTTACTACATGTAAAAGATCCGGAACCTCTAATGAAGCCTCTGAGCTACATTCAAATCGCCTGTTTAGTCGCACAAGAAATACCTTTTTTATCCGGTAGCTGGTGAAAGGGGCGTAGCGAAATTTGCGTGGTCAGACGGAAGAGCGGGTCTGATGACCTGAGTCTCACCACGTAAAATAAGGCAAATTCAATTCAACTCAGGCTTATGAGATACAACGCCCTCGACGGGGCATCACCCGGGCCATCGAAAGGTTTCTACCGCAATGGGACCAAACGTAACCGAATCAAACGTAAGCAAATGTAATCGAACTGCGCCAAACCTAACGGAACCAAATTAAGTTAATCTGATCGGAATCGAATGAAACGCAACGGAAATGATATGATGCAAACAAAAACAAAAAACAACGAACATCTGATTATTTTTGTTATTTAAGGTTGTATTAACTACTAGGTCATTAACGACCACTATTGTGAGTAAAGGTATGGTAACTATGAGAATGACACGATATGATAATGATAGGGGGTGAAAGGATGAACACAATACAACCTTCCTGAGGCGGGACCCGAACTCGCGATCCTTCCGTCCGAGATCGCTACGACACTACTGCCTTCCGGATCGGTAAACATCTGATTTTAATATTTACTAGGCTATCCGGGTGACGCCGCGTCCATGGCGAAGGCGCCGACGTTTCGGTCGCCATTCTGAGACCTTCCTCAGGGCGTAATGCCAGGAAGGTCGCAGAATGTGGCGACCGAAACGTCGGCCCTTCGCCATGGAGCGGCGTCACCCAGCACAGCCTAAGTAAACACTGAC